GCCGATTTCGGCGGCGGTAATCTCGCGTACTTTAACGTCTCTTTCAATAGACTTTCCGGCGAAATCCCGCCGGAATTTGCGGGAAGAATCCCAACAAATGCAACCTTAGATCTTTCGTTCAACAACCTGACCGGGTCAATACCGGACTCGAATCTTTTCTCCAACCAAGACACAAAGTCGTACTCCGGCAACCCCGAGTTATGCGGCAAGCCGTTGGAAAACCTCTGCCCGATTCCATCTTCCGCCGCCGCTTTGCCAAATGCCTCCGTACCGGAATCTCCTCCGGCAATCGCCGCCATACCGAAAACCATAGAGTCCAACCCAGCAACTGCCTCACCCGACGGCGCAAACCCGCCCCAAGCGAAACGAACCGGGCTGAGGACCGGAACGATCCTGGGAATCGTCGTCGGCGATATCGCCGGAATCGGAATACTCGTCGTGATTTTCGTATACGTTTATCACTTAAAGAAAAGGAGAATCGTGGATAAAGCCATCAAAAAGGAGGCGGAAAGCGCGCGTGATTTCGACTGGGCTTCCTCCGCATCCTCCTCGGAAGAATACAACTGGCTGAGAAGCTGGACCTGCTTGAAGAAACAGAGACACGCCGCCGCCGACGGCGAAGAAACCACCTCGGAATCAACCAACTCCGACGGCGAAGAAACTACAAATTCAATCAAAAACCACGAAATGCACGCCGCCGCCGCCCAATCGGAGAAGAAAACCGGAGCCCTAGTAACGGTGGACGGGGAAAAGGAGCTGGAACTCGACACGCTGCTGAAGGCGTCGGCGTACATATTAGGCGCGTCGGGGTCGAGCATAATGTACAAGGCGGTTCTGGAAGACGGGACCACTTTCGCCGTCCGGCGAATCGGGGAGAACGGCGTGGAGCGGTTTAGGGATTTCGAGAACCAGATTCGGGTCATCGCGAAATTGGTGCACCCGAATCTAGTCCGGATCCGAGGATTTTATTGGGGCACCGACGAGAAGCTCATCATCTACGATTTTGTTCCTAATGGCAGCCTTGCTAACGCGCGTTACAGTAAGTCCAGTTTTCCCCCAATTAATTAATTATTCAATTTCAACATAAATATATGATTTATGATTGACTCATTTTATGATTCAATTTTAGATCTTTTTTTTCCCCCCCCTCCATTCTCTATGTTAGTTTAATTTGAAGTCATGATAAAATTAAACGTGCAGTTTCCATGGATGGTC